GAAGAAGAAGAAGAAGAAGAAGAAGAAGAAGAAGAAGAAGAAGAAGAAGAAGAAGAAGAAGAAGAAGAAGAAGAAGAAGAAGAAGAAGAAGAAGAAGAAGAAGAAGAAGAAGAAGAAGAAGAAGCTCGTTACATTATTTAGGTTGTGTGTAGAATATCTCTTTATTATTGTTTCAAATATTGTAGATCAACCTGTAAATTGGTCATGCCATGACAAGTTTTTCAAACTAATTTGATTTATGATTCTATCATAAACATTTCACAAAAATGGCAGGCAATAAAAGTTCCTATCTGTACCTTTAAAAACTAATAATAAATTTTTTACATGGTTTGTGAGTTTCAGTTCATCATTGTAGAGAATTGCAAAGAAGTTTTGTAAGTAAATGGGGAGAGATCCGTATAATCAAAGAAAACCAGTTTTTTTAATAAGGTATGTAATTAGGTGAAAAGCAATAATTAAATTGATTATGTTGTACACTTGAATCAATTAATTACAATTTCATTCTGTTGCAGATGAATAAATGCACCTCTTCAAGGTCTACAAAATATTAAATGAAGGAATCTGCTTCAAAATTACTGACTGCATGTCGCTGCAACATCTGTGCTACAAAGTTTGATTGTTTGAAATATTGTAATTCTAAACTAAATTTTGAAAAATAACTTTTTATATGGAGTAGTTTAACCGCAAATCTAAAAAAGAGTCACCATGTTGCAGGAAATGCTAGTAATTATATTAATGTCAATATTGATATATAGTTGTGTAACCTATAGATTTAGTGTTTTATATTAGTTTGATGTTAATAATATGACAATTTTTAGTAATATATATGACAATTAACGAAATGGTTTTATTTTTCCTAAATTGTTTTCCCTCGATATACTTTCAAACGTCAAAAAGGAAACAGACAGATTGATTTTTTTAGGTTGGTAGCAACGTAGACTTGTTCATAATATTGCTAGCATTGAAAATGACAATTTTTATTCTCCGTTTGTGTATCTAATTAGTCAAGAGTCCCGTCTCTTATTTTATATATTTTTTGTTTAATCTAAAAACGAAACGCAAAGGCTGTAACATCAAAAATCCAGTTTCTCCTTGCAGTGCTAATAAAGTTTAACTTATTTTATTATTTTAAGCAACCGACATTTACAGTGTTTGTTGCATGTTTCGATACCTACCGTAGATATTTTATTAATTGAAAAAACACTTCAAAGAATTTTATTTAGACTTTTGGAAATGAGGCTTATAATTCGGAACGTTATATTTTGATTAACATTGACAGTGACACTTGACAATATTGCTTATCCGTCACAAAAATGGCTGCGCTCAGGGTGTTTAGCCGTAATATACCGTATTTACGACAACAATTTTCAGCATTATTGGGGAACACATCGCCGTCAGTTAAATTTATTTGTATTGTTGTTATTATAGGATATGTGTTATCGTATTCAGAGTCTGTTGTTAATGTTCTTAGTGTTACACCAGGGTTTTTGTTGCCACCTTCTTTTCAATTGTGGTCTACTTTCACGTTCTGGTTTCTGGAGATACATTTGTGGGAAGTGATAATCGATATCGTGACGGTCGGATTGTGCGGAAAACTAATCGAACCATTATGGGGGCAAATGGAAATGATGAAATTCTTTTTCCTTACAAACATTGGTGTTGCATTTCTAACAACATTTTATTACTTGGTGATATATGCATGGACTCAAGATACATCCTTGTTGTTCGAAATCCATGTACACGGACTCGCAGGATACCTCGCGGCCGTTAGTGTGGCTGTGAAGCAAATTATGCCTGATCACTTGTTGATAAAAACACCTTTAGGTATGTTGCATATATTGTACAAATTATTTAAGAACACTAGTTTACATATTTCCAATTATTCATATTTCAGAGTAGAAATTTCGAAATTCAATTAATAAGAAATTAAAATAAATTTCAATGTTACAAGTTTAATTAAATGAATGTGAATTTATGCCACGATAATAAACCTTTTTTTGATGAAATATATATTTTTTAATATTAACAGTGATTATTTAATAATAATAATCTTGTATAATCTATATCTACATGCAGATAAGAATAAATTGCTTTTTCATGTCAATAAAAGTAATTTTTATTGTAGAGATAACAACATTTAAATAACCTGATCACCCATGTAAAATTAAATGCTAGACATAAATTTTAACATCTTTTTTTACTTTAACAATTAAGATAAAATTATGAATAAAGTTTTCTATAGAACATTTTTTTTTTACCAATTATTGTGTTATATCAATTTGGCATAAATAATTCCATATTTGACATAGAAGATTAGATTAGATGAACTGTGTATTTGCCAGATCTGGTTGAGTAGAAGATCCATAATATTGAAATCACAGAATAGATATACTGACAATGTGGTGGATGTAGCGGCCATAATAATTATAATACAATGAGTATAAAATATGAATAAACATTAACTAAAATTCTCTCAAAAAATAAAATCAGACATTGTTCTGGTGACAGCTATTGACAGCCGGAGGCTAATTTTAAGGATGTTAATATGGTTATAAAATATGTTTTAACTTTAAATATGTATGTATGTTATTAATTCATCAAGAAGAGAGTGAAAGAGCATTTCAGAAGCATAATTATATTTCTGGCAATGTCTAATATCAACTTGCAATAAAAGAAGTAAAATGGAATAAAAACACTGTCCTAGTTTTTGTTGTTAGGCTGTAGGTGTTTATTTTAGTTCTTTACTTCAATGTCAACAGGTTTATACACTTTTGTTACTACTTATATCTTAGAATATGTACACAGTGACTAGGTAAAACATAATATTTACATAGTAAAATAACATGTCCATGTGAAATATAATTCCCTTACATAAACACACTTTTGTTGTAGTCATAGTTTAAATGTATTATTTCTTATTATTCATTGAAATGATTAAATAGTGACATACCTTCTTTTAAATGTAATTATAATTAATTTTGTAGGAAAATTGACAAATCGCTCTTTGCCACTACTGATATTGATTGCTGCAATAATACTGTGGGCGGTGGGAGCACTGGAAGGTACCTACCCTTGCATGTGGGGCAGTGGCACCATCCTCTCCTGGGTCTACCTCAGGTTCTGGCAGCGACACAGCAGTGGCACTAGAGGGGATATGGCTGATAACTTCAGCTTTGATAAGTAAGCATAATTTGGTCTATATTTATTACACAAATTGTGCACTTTTAATTTTGAAACTAGTGCGTAAGTTTGTTAGAGTGAAAGTGTATCGCATTGTGTATGTATTTTACATCTCTTTCATAAAAGTACTCTTATGAGGTTCATACAAGTTCATGCCCCACTTATTGATCTATCACACAGAAATGTTACATTAAGATGTTAGATTTGTATGTTTAAGAGGTAGTAGCATAACCATGATTAATGTAATGTCTAAATAATAACTGTATTCTTTGTAGTTTCTTCCCGACTGTGGTGCAGCCTGTGGTGCGAGCTGTGTTGGGTCCGCCAGCGCGTTGCCTAGCACGGCTAGGCTTGTGTCCATCGCCGCCGCGGCGCGTCACACTGGCGCTCAGCCCTCGAGGTGTCACCATCTCCATGCCAGGCGTTGAACCACATGATATGGAGAGACGAAGGTAAGCACAATGAGTAATACTTTACCAGAAGCTTCTGTGTAATTTATCAAGTTAATTCTATAAAATGAAGCTTAAATTTTTCTGTAATAGACAAATCGCGCTGAAAGCATTGAGTGAGAGATTATCAAAGACGTCAGAACAAACGCGCCAAAAGAACTTATCTACCAAAGTGAACATGGATGCAGTAAGGAAGATGCAAGCGTCACATGTGATACCCCAGTTTCCAACGGAGACAACAGAGCAGAAGCCACCCTCCGTGCCAGAGACAACACTGGTCGACATCAGCGCAGAACCATCGACACCCACGACAAAGACCTCATGATCTACGTGACATTTCCTATATTAAGTTATTCACAGTACCAATGTGGAAATCAACAAAAATGTAAGTCAATAAAATTATTTATTGTAAATGTGTATTAATAAATTATTAGTAGAATTTACTGCTGTAATCTGGCAATACCTAATTGATGTGTTTTGTTATATGAAAATATTTATTTCAGTCAGTTGACAAAAACATAATATTATAATTTTATTGATGTTATTTAAAATCTTATGTAGGGGATAGACAGATCACATTTTAATGACCTTAGTATTCATGGGCTTTAAATGTTATCAGAGTATTAATGACAGATTATTGTTGATTAAAAAAATTTAATTGAATAGTGGTTATTTTCGGTGACTGTGAAGGGTACATAATTAAACATGTTAAAAAAAGTGGTGGATTAATGGATTTTCTTAATAAAAAATATGCAATGTTATTTTATGCATAATGTAATAAAGCATTTATTTACTAATGTTTATAAGTAGCAATTATCTTTTAGATAGAATTCACTTAACAAATCCGTAATTTTTAATTATTTCTTCACGCCACGCTTTATTTCGTTAATATGAAGGATACCATAAAAATATTGTCATGTTTCTATGTTCAGAGCCAAGCGAAAGAATGTTTTTTTTAATCAGTTATTATAAACATAATTCAATGTTCTGGATGGGACTGATAGATTAAAATTGTAAATATGTTAACCATGAGCATCACAAGAATTTTTTTTTCAAAGAAATTTATAAGTATTTATCAAAAATGTTAGAGGTTGATACATTTTCATGATTTAAGCATCTTTAATCGTTGTACACATTTGATATTGATTCTATATATTAGATGGTCCTTCGAGTCGGATGAACTATGTAATTATCATATCTTACTGTGAACTGCTGAAATGTGTGTTAAAACACATGGTTTTCTGAAAAAAAAAACTAACAGAATAACAATATGTATATCAGTAATTCTTAAATTAACTACTTAACAAGCTACCTTTAGAATTAACGTCAAGCTTAATCATTAATTCATTCCTGACAATTTTTTTTTAGTTTAGTGTATAGTTAAGACACTATGGTTATGGTAAAATATTTAATTGTTTATGTATTCATAGAATTGTGTTGTAGGAGTTTTTATTAAAAAAAATTGAAGAGTGTGTTGGTTATATTTCACTAAATTAAAGAGGTTTGATTATTGTCTATGATGCTTAAATAATGAAAATGTGTATGGCATGCATTGTGCTGTTTGCATTTATGACGAATTTATCTTAGTTTCCACAGTGGCGCTGTGAATTTTAATACAATAGTATTTGTTTTGTCTTTTATTATAAAAGTCCTTTAGATTATTTACATGGTTTGAATTAATTGTATGCATTTTGTTAAATGTTCAGCCAAATTGTGGCGGCGTGTGAATGGATTTGTGATGTTGTAAATATAAATAAATATTGTTTAGTGTTAAAATAAATAATTCCCAAATATTTACTTATGACTTTTATTTCTTAGGGAATTAAAAATTAGATATTGTTACCATGAAGGTTCAATGCCAAAAAATAAATATTTTTTTTTATAAGACAACCGAAGTGATAGACAAATTATATGACCTGTTACATTTTCCTTGAAAACACTAAGATAATTGTTAATCGTACGAGCATAAAACCAGCCAGAGACGACATTTATAAATTAAACCTGCATATTTGTATTTTTCTAATATAGTTGACAAAATATAAAGATTATTACTACTACTAATTTAATATCTATGTTCTGCATTTTAAATAAAATAGAATTTTATAATCTGTGTATATCATTATATAAGAACTGGAAGTTTATATAGGAAGTTAAGTAAGTTAAAATTTACATATTAATGATGAAGTTGCAAAAATATTATAAAATATGTATATATTTTTAGACATCATTATTATGCTTTGGCGCGAATGGCGCGCTTTCGTTACAAAGTCAAGTGTCAGATTGATTAATGAGGACATAAACGTTGACAATAAGGCTAGTGTTGCTGTCTAAAAGACTCTCGAGCCCCTGCTTATAAACTCCTTAAACCTAGTACATTTCAATTTGAGTTACATAGATATACATTATTTCATTAGTACAGTAATAAATTTAAACAATATTCAATATAACAATGCGCTTCTTTTTAATCTAATTATAGATAATATTTTTTTACTAGAAACATAAGTTTGTTACACATATTCGTTATCATGAAATATATAAGACCTTATTCACAAAGATCACTCAGGATGTGTCCTTCTCACTAATCTGAGTGATAAAACATCTCAGCAATCTCAGCCCACAACTGGGCTAGAGGTTAACTCAAAGTTGGGCAACCGGTAACCAGTCCAGAGTTCTCCTAGTCCTGTTTAGCCCAGAGTTGGGCTGATGACGTATCTGAGAGCTGTGTTGTCTACTACTGGTTAGCCCAGTAGTAGTCATGCTACCGGTAGTAGTGGTGTTGGGGTTGGGGCCACGGCTGCACGGACACCGTGGGCGGCTGGTAGCCGTCCGGCCAGCGCGCCTCACCCGACACCGCGCCCACGTTGCCCACGTTACCGATGCCCACGCTGGGAGGTAGGGGGGATACACCCGCTACGTTTGGATTGAGGCTACCACCTGTTAGCAGTAATATGTTTTATTGAGAATCTTAATTAATTAGAAGTTTTTTAATTTTAAAATTATTACTACATTCACGTTAATGAAATCAAACCAACATTTTTTGCCATTTAGATTTAAATTCAGTAACTTGATAAAAGGTAATTAGTGTACAAAGGTTTAAAATTACTAGTAACTAAGGTTTAGTAGAATAGTATAAATAAATATTGACATACCAGGTGGGGGCACGTAGGGTGCGGGTGGCGCGGAGTAGTTGGGCACGTAGTAGGGCGGGGGCACGCTCATGTTGTGCGGCAGCACTTGCACTGAGGTGACGGTCGCCGACGGCAGCGCTCCACCCACCGGCTGCGGCGGCTGCGTACAAAAACACAAATAACAACTTCACATTGAATGACCATGGGATGATATATTCAAGGAAACCGTTAGGTGAGATTCGTGTGTCATGATTTTTTTCCATACATTTTGTACTTGACATGTTTTGTTTCACGCGTAACTCGTGTCGTCTCATTTCTCACGATAAGCGGCACAGAGACGTCGTGCGTAGTCCCGATCGCGCGCTCCCGTTTTAATTACAGTTTAAAAAGACTTATTTGTGTTAAAGTTTAAATTATGTTGTTACTTATTATTCAAATATTTCAAAGAAATTAAAATAAATTATTATAAATAGAATTAATTGCACATTTTTGTTAAGTGCGCACTTAAGTGTAAGCCCGCCGCTGTATATCAGTGCGTTGAGTGATTATAACAGTGGTATTAACCTGATAGTAGTTGTAGTAGTTGTGCTCGCCCTGGTCCTGTATGGGCACGGTGATGAGGTTGGTCCTGGCGGGGCGGCGCTCGCCGGGCGCGTGCGGTGCGTGTGCGGGGTGGGCGGCGTGCGGCGCGTGCGCACCGTGCGCCAGTGTGTGTGAACGAGGATCACCCGCTGATGGCGGCAACTGCAACATATATATAAAGTACCCTACACTGTCCGGACAATTTATTCAAAATCTTAACATTTTATGTTACTAATATTATAAATGCGAAAGTTTGAATGGATAGATGTTTGTTTGAAAGTATCTCCAGAACTGCTGTATGGATTTCGCTGGAATTTCGCATAGCCATAGAATATAGTCTAGAAGAACACATAGGCCACTAATAAAATTCGCGCAGACAGAATCGCGGGCGATAGCTAGTAATAACACAATTCTTACAATGTTTATTTTAAACTAAGGCTTACAAATATACATGAATATCCTTACAGTCATAGGTTTGATGATGGGCACAGAGGGTGTGGTCGGCTCAGGCTCTGATTTGTTCTCCCCCGCGCCCGAAGATACATGCCGATGATTTATGTGAGCTTGCAGATCTCTCTGAAAACAATTTATCATCAGTGAACAAGGTAAAAACAAAACAATCAAATATTTTGATATAGTGCGTAAATCATAAATTAAAATATCAATTGATTAAATTTTCTAGTCAAAAAACTTAGATTTTTTAATAACCTGTGATAAGTATGTCCTCCTGCAACCTGTATTCCCATATCTTGTTCCGGAATGTGTGCACATGAACACTGTCCCCAAACCAGTCTGTTCCACACGCAGCACCTACAACCAAATAAATTATAGAAAATTACAAAAAACATATTTAAAAAACACTGCACAGAAATTTTTGGTTTCCAAATTCTGAATAAGCAAGTCCAAGGAGCTGCAATATTTGTCTTGCTTGTAGATGGCTCTCACTAACCCAAGTTTCTCTTTTTAGGACATTGCCAATTGGGATTTGGCAATAACTCTCTTTTACAGAGGTTTCTTGCTTATGTTGGTTCAGCTGTTATGCAGCTGACTGTACAAATAAAAGTAATACTAAATATAACATGTAAAATTGTTTACCTTCTCTCTACAGCGAGGGCAATGTGTGTGATCTGATCTGGCACAAGATAAACAAAATACATGCTTGCAGGGAATCTGAAAATAAAGTAAATTACGAATTTATAATAATAGGAACGAAATAATGGTTGGACATAGCTTTTCATATTTCACCAAACTTTTTCCAAATAATCTAATTTTATCATGCTTTCCTATGCTATTGCACGCTATTTGCTTATTTCTTCAGCTTGGAAGGTATAGGTCATTGGAATAAGACTATTTCAAATATAATAAGTTAAATAAAGAGAAAAAAAATATATAATAAGTTGGGGATAGATTCAAGATGACCTTCATCTTTTATGATTATCAACTTACCATTCTGCCGTAGATAAGAATTGGTTTTGAGCAAGTATCACAGCAGTAAATCATGGGGTTTAGAACTTTCTCTCCGATTAGTGTAGCTCTATGGCTCCAGTCCAAGCGCAGCATGGGCTCTGGGGGCCCGCGCTGTATTGTTGTGAATACAGGAGTCTCCAGCTGAGAAATGTCCGAGGGCACTTCTACTGCAATTTAAGTTAACTCATAAATACAAAATACATGAACACTTAATTAAATAAGTCTTATGTATAAAATTTGGGATACAGTTAATAATAAATTGTACTGTATTTTCATAGTAAATTTTTACAATGCCAAGTTGTTACAGTAAAAATATGAGGCTTATTACATTTGTTAAAAGAACTCTTTAAGTAAAACATAAATGGTGTAATATGTATGATAGATTATATTTTTCATATTTATTATCACTTACACTTTGGAGGTTCAGCCGGTTCAGTCTCATCTTTTGACTCCTCTGGTGTAATTTCTTCAGGATCTTGAATGGTTTCTTCTACAGAGCATTCTTCTTCATCGGAAGACATAACTTTAGCTACTTTTTTGCCTCGACCACGGCCCCTGCCGCGGCCTCTACCTCGGCCACGGCCACGTCCTCTTCCCCGAGCATTTCTCTTTTCATTATTCATTTATAAGTTTTTAATTTACTATAATGTTATTAGTTGTCACTGTTGGCTGTTAACGGCTTTAGCCTTATGGTTTATGTATGTAATTAGAAATCTGTAATATTAGTCTTATTAAACAAGGGATTGTTTTAAATATAAATTAGCTAGTTTAAGATGGAATTCAATAATTCATTGGAAATTGGAATTACAATTCTAATTCTATTCTAATTATTCCATATTTCATCAAAATTATCAAGAAAGGATGAAACAGATTAATAAAGAACAAAGATAATAAATATAAATGTCAAAGAGCAGAGAATCTTTAAAATAGCTGTCTGTATTATTAATCTGTGTTCACGCCTATGACATTATGTTTGGTTACCTAGTCCGTGACATACAACAATAGATGGCGTAGTTTATAGTTTTAAAAGAGTTTATTTTAAAACAAAACGAATATAAAATATACTATGTTATTGTTATGATATAATATTAACAGTTAACACTAGAAACTATGGCATAAAACAAAATTTATAGTTATACCGTACTTCGGAAATAAAGATTACTAAGCTGGCTATCTGTCCTTTTTATCGTCCATGGTGCCATATTCTGTCTTATTCCTATTCGTCTACTTCTGATTGTTATATTTCATACAATTTACTTTTAGTTACATACTAAAATATGCTTGGTGTTTTAATGTGATTAACAAACCTAATAGATATAGGTCATCGTTTGTCGCTTTTTGATTAAGATGATAATAATCGTATGTTAAACGGATAATGAAATAGAAAAATAAGTACCTTATTATAATTATAAACTGTAAAGATATTCATCATCCTAATCTCCATGAGCCAGTTTAAATTTATTTTTTACCATAAATATTTGTGATGATAATATAAAAATGTATACGTGTCTAGATAAAAGCTATCGGATAACTGCGCCTTTGCATGAAAATATTAATAACTAAAAACACGTCAGCCATCTTGAATCCTTAAAAAACATGTTTACGCGATAAAGAGGAAAAACTTGATATTTATATTCACCATTATATAAGTCAGTGTTATTAAAATCAGGTATTTAGAGAGAAAAGAGAGATAAAAATGTTTTTTTATGCCGATCACGATATATTTTTCAATGTTAATGTAAGCAATGTGTTAATAAACATCTCTTGAGGGAATAAAGTTACTTGGCATAGGGGTCAATGACATTTACCTCACGGAATCGGGAAGAGGACTGAATTAATATGTCATTATACAACAAAAGAAACAAATACATTATTCTTAAAACAATGGGGAGGTTAGGAAATACTTTAGTTCATGTACGTATTATTTATTACACTTTTATTTTATTTAAGGTAGGCATTTTTATGGAACTCAGTAACCACTTGTCCGTTTGTCATCTTCTTGAAAAAAAGTACTGAAAGTTGCAAAATTTAGACATTATAACAAATAAAAAGTTTCATTATGTTCGTAATGGTTGGTCACTTAGTGCTAATGGTAGGTAATACAATAACATAAACAAGCGACTAAAGAGAGCTGTTATGTAAGCGATGCAGTTGCAGGCCGGCGACTTGCAACGCGGTCACGGCCGGTTGACGATCTGTAGGATGTACCTACCAGGGTGACCATATAGTGCGCATATCGAACCATTGCGTGGATTAAATTTGAAGAGGGCTTCAACAAATTTCGCGACAAAGATCTAGAAGTTTTGATATTGCCGTCTTTTGATATTATTATTCCTTGTACTATATCATGGTAGATGAAAGGTGCAAACGTTATCAAATATATTAGTCTCGTTATATATTTTTCTTAGAATTCTATAGAATTACTAAATATTAATAAAATTTGAGTAAGTGCGCAGACTCTACTAACCGATAACGGGTCAGTTACAGAAATAATTTTTGGCAAACGCGTTTTACTTCCTTGAACCGCAAAATCTCATGATGACGCGCCTAGTTCAGTCGCCTTGAAAAATTTTTGCGACGATATATTTTCGTTTTTAGATGTTTGTAGATCTATCGCGGTTTTTCCGGTAATTTTTCTTTTTTCATAGCCTGTGCTTGTGGTATTTTGCCAATATACACATTGAGTTTATTGGCTTTTTTAAATGAAAAAAAAATCGCTCGTAATCATTTATAACTTGATTTCCGATTACGATCATAGATGGCGTGGTAATCTCAACTTTATCATAAAAGGTGACTAAAATGGTCAAGGCTCTTCCAAAAGATCATTGTTAAGCCCATAAAGCTACGATTAAAATTTAGGTTTATACGATTAGATCACAGCAGAGATATTTAGGTGGTTTACTCTTGAGATAAGGTCAGGATTGTTCATGCTAGTGTATGGTAGACTGCTCTACTAACCCATTTGTGTGTAATCTGTGGACGGAAACTCTGAGGCTCTGACATTGTAAACGATTAGGATGGTCCGGTCCGACTTTCATGATTTCTTTGGATGAATATTAAAAAAATGTTTGCTGAATTCTTTAGTGGCGAATCAAAGTCCACTCAAGACAACGTTTGTGGAGTCCGCTAGATAAATAATAAAACATTGTTCAAACAGTTTATGTAATCGTATTCACATCATAAAGGAGTAGCTTATTAAAATGTAACAGTTGGCACAAACGGTTCATTTGAATTTCGAATAGCTTCTTAGAAAAAGTCATCGTATAGGGCTGATGGTGGGGAGCTGTGAAGAGAGGGGGATTATCGAGTGCAGCGCCCTCCTTTCGCCTTCGACAGCTCGCGACGTATGCAGAGCCCTGAACCCAATGACCGCTCCAATGCGATGTGGCAGATCGATCTAATAACATTAACGATACGATAGTTCCATATTTTTAGCCCAAGGCACTAATTATACAGCACAATTAGTAGTTTTCATCGCTAGATCATGTCAATCATTTTATCTTTCGACTACTTATTATATCTTAATGCATACATTAAAATGTTATCAGTCAGAAAATAAATAAACGTGACCTATTATTTTCAGTCTCCCTCCTCCTCGTGATGCTTCCTGATTATTTCGGAATCCCCCTCTGCCTTTCGAGCCTCGCTAAATAATGCGCGATCTATTAAATATTAGACGTTAACCAATCAGTTGGAAATTATTTGTATCCCAGATAATATGGATTTTAATTTTTACTATCAAAAAGATATTAAGTCTTAGTTATTGAAGCGAATTGAAATTGTAACAACATAGAAATCGATCTAACTTCCATAAAAGTGTTTTTGTTATAGTTTAGTCTTAATAAATAAGGCAGCATTGTAGGTTTTCTGCGAACTGCGCTTCGTAGTTACTTGGCTCACAGACCCCGTTGTCAGGCGACACATGTTGTATGCCGGCTTAGTAGAACGAACAAGTATCTTGTATATCAAGTATCCTATCATACTATCGCTATAGCAAAGTTCACAGTTGGCAGACACGTTGTATCATGTACATTGTATATTCTATGTTTAAACAAGTAATGTTTTTACTTTTAAAGTGTTTAATGGTCGCTACATGGTCTATATTGCCAGCTAATGCTACTGACTCTACTACTGTTAATGTTCATAAAGTTCGCTACACACCTACAGTTAACAATGTGCATTTTTAACAGTGGTAGAGCCCGCTTTAACATCTTCACACGAATTGGCCCGGCTCGCTCGGTGAAATACCACGACCACACAGAAGACAGGCGTGAAGTGGAAGCAATTCCGCGTTTCGTCTGCTGAGTGAGTGCGTCCCGGAGGCCTTTTTCCCTTCCCACCCTTTATCTTATAAGGAAAGGATAGGAAGTGGAAGTGGACTTTCCGGATGAGAGGATGCATGGGAAAAAAAATTCTTTCCGTGCATCCTCTCCTCCGTCGATTAAAGGTAGGCAACGCATATGCAGTTGCGTGTGTCTATGGGCAACGGTCACTTCGCTATTTCAGCGATTTCAGGTGGCCGCTCGCTCGTTTGCTTCCTAACGATATAAAAAAAAGTTAAGACTGTGTTAAGTCGGAGTTTTCAATAAAATTGTATTTGTGTAGAAAAAACTGAGAAGTGTACACTTTAACTGTCAGCTAATATTTCTCCTCAATGTGTGTAGTGGGCTTAATATAGTTCACAAACATTGTAATAAAAGATTTTTGTTTAAAAAAGGAAATTCAAAGATGTAATAGTAACCACACGATGTGTCCTTAAATATTTAGGTGTGTATTTTAAAAAGTATGTCTCTAGCTCATTGTGGCACGACACGGCAGGGGTAGGGCAGGGGGGCACAACCTTTTTTATCTCGGCAAGTGGGTTGCGTACCGGTACCGCTCAGAGATTAATTCCCAGCTCGCATGCAACGGATACTAAAGAGAAAAGAACTATGGACTACTTAAAGTTTAATTGTTTTGCTTTTAAGCAAGCGTTTTTAAAATATGAGTTTTATTGCATATAGTTTTTAAAATAAACTGGAAATCAGAAATCTTTAATTTGTTCTTCTCGATTTTTGTTGATGTTGCTGTTCAAATATTAAATATTGCTTCTTTGTCTTGGCATAGAAATATATTATATTTCAACTAAAATAAACGCAAGTAGACCATAGTGTAGTCAGTATTACTTCGACATTTATTTGCAAATTATAATATTTAATCTGAAATACGATAAGAATCATACAGCATTAAGTAATAATAAAGTTGTTTACAAAAGTTACATTTTAAAGACTACATTTTACAAGCAATATTCATAAAAACAAATTATTCAGATATGTTAAACCTTTATTTTTTATTTAAGTTGTTTTATATTATTTTATAAAATTGATTTATTAAATTATTAAGATGGTAAATAATAAAAACAATTTGAAAACCACACTGACAGATAACCTATTTAAGGAACAATTAAAAGCGTTATTGTTTATGCGTAATTATGTAACGGCGGCACTAAAAGAGCACAATAGCAACGTTTTGCGGTGGACATTCCTGAACAAACCGCACCTGTTTAATTTTACTAAATAGATTGTCTTGTGGGCGTAACAATATGTAACCGGTGGAAACCGGTTTGTTCGAGGTCATTTCGATAAAGGCACAATACAATCATTGCTAGGGATTATTGAGCCCGCGATGATCCGCCTTGACGTGCGACCAATAACTGTGAAATCGAAATAAATGTGAATGTTTCTATATTTAACTGAATAAATATAATCGACAATATTTTATTTTGATGCTTAGATATCAATATGACAAGCCTATTTACCATTGAAATATTCAAGCTAATCAAACGGAATACTGTTGAATTGGCTTTACACGTTATA